TGCATTTAAAATATTTATTGAAATTATTGTTTCAACGGAGAAGGTTATTTCACTGATGGTTGCAACCTTATATGGTTTTGAATTGCCCTTTCTTTTAAACACTGTTGATTTTTTTTTTCAATAGTTAACCTTATTTCAATAATGGTTGAGACGTGTTTTTGAAGAATATTTCAACCACTAGGTATTGTCAGAACGATGCCCAGTACTATGCCTGTATCTCTATTTATAGTTTAAAAGCCCAATAACATATACACCGTTACCCTATGGACTAGAAAGATTCCAAATACTATGCACATTGCATCCATAGGGAAAGACTCTTCCTAATTTTTTTCTTCATCCAATATTCTTCTCGTTGTCTATAAATACGGAAATGTATACTCAGTGATGAACTGTTTGTATGAAGGTAAATCTTTTCTATCATTCTAATTTCATTGACAAAATAGAATTATCAGGAAAATCAAAATGAATATAGACATGCATAAAAGCTCCTGGAACCTTTGTTAATTTGATATCTTTATCCTTGTTTTCTTTTATTTAGTAATCATTTTGTTTCACCAGCATAAAAAGGGTCAAAATGGATAAATTCTTTATTAAAAGAAAGACACAATGTTCTTACATGTACATGTATATGTTTTGTTATAAATCCGCATCAAAGCATTTCGGGATATACACTAAACAAGTAACTTACATATTAAGCATACAAGTGCATGTACATGTAATTGAGATACTAAATCAGCAAAAATAGGTGACATTTCCAATTCATAATGAAAAATTTTTTACAAGGTTAATAGATTACCTTTTGATGTTATGTAGAGTGGACTGAATAAAATTCTTATTAAGTATGTTTTATTAAATGAAAGACATTTCGATAGAATTTTTTTGGTATTACATTGATCTAAGTTGTTTAAAAAAAAATCGATAATGTTTCACTTATACACACACAAAACCATATACCAGCGAAGGGCTTCATATTTTTACATTTACTTAACACCCATGTCCACTGAGTAGTGAGAAATCTTTATCTTACCAACGCTTGCCGTGTCTTTGAACCTTGGTTTTAAGGTATCATGCGAATGACCCGCAATTTCACTTCAATGTAACGTGCGTAGGGCGAGGAAACCTCTTTTTACCGACTTGGGTCAGTCGTGGCCGAAATACGAACTCACGACCTCCTGATCACGGAGCGACCTCTCTAACGACACGGGCTACTGTGAACGGTATTTTAGTGTTAGAAGGTTTACCATATTCTCAAAATAATAAGATATAAGATAATAAGGCTACTGATGCTAAAACTTACAAAATTCGGTTTTGGATTGTAAATGTATTTAAAGCTAGGATCTCCACATTGAATTTCAGAAATTATATATATGTTGTTTCCTATTCATTCACCACAATAGGACAATTCATGTATATCTTTATCATATCCGTTATGATGTCCATGATGTTGTAGCTTTATTGTTAATAAGTGCATTCGTATGTAATTTGTTACATGCTTTTGTCGGTTAAATCTATGCATTCACAAGCTAGTAGCAACAGGGGGGGGGGGGGGGGGGGGCAGGACCCCCACTTTTTTGCGAACATTACCTTTACTATAGAAAATGTTCCTTGAAAAGATGGTTGGCCCCTCCCCCACTTTTTACCACAGTATATGTATAGCAAGGAAATAGAAAAAAAAAATAGAAGTGAAAGGAAGTTGGCCTTGAAAAAAGTTGATCACTACAACCCCCCCCCCCCCCCCCACAGGTTGCCCCCCCCCCTCCCCCACTTTCAAAAACGATGCTACGTGCCTTTTTAATGTTCATATATTCTATTTTAACATCGCAATACAGAGTATATTTAATTTAAAGAACCAAAAAGTGGTTCCCCTCTTGCAAATAATAACAACCGTACATAAATATGTCTTATTATTATTATTATTATTTTTAAATATTAGTATCTTTTAATTTAAAGAATATATGCACTTATTTTATGACGGAAACTTTGTTGCTTCTATTTGAGTTGGGTTAGCTACATAAATTAGATCGGGATCGGGATATCTCAAATTCCCTTTTGTTGCCCTTGGTTCTAAGACGAAAGGAACACGAATTTTGTAATAGACAGCATTTTTTTTAAAATATGCTTTTAATCACGATGTTTTTTTTTAAAAAAGTTTCATAAAATGTTATCTACAAATATCTGATTTGATGATTAGATGCATGGATGGATTGTTCTTTTTCGGAAAATAGGCGAGATTGGCTTGGATTAAAATTTTACATGTCGGCATACATGTTGCGTAATTTGTATTAAAACTTGTTTGCATTTTAGTTTTACAAGCAAAAATATATATGGTTGAGGAATACATAGGTAATTTTTTTTTTTCTTTTTTGTTTATAAATCTTGCATTAATTGAGAAAAAAGGTTTGGTGGGGCTTTATAGCAGTAAAACTAATCAAAATATTAAAATTGGGTGTCTATCAATTTTCGCAGCCTTTAGTCAATTGAATATTCTTAATTGTATTTGCAGAAATTATTTTTCTTAAAAAAGAAGTCAACATATCTAAAAAAAAAAAAAAAGGCGGTCATTTGAAAAAAATTCTGTTTACACTAAAATTAAAGCTAATTACCCTTGATAATTTGTGTTTGGATAGTGCCTTTAATTTATTTTATATTGTCCGGTGCTTTGATACGCAGTTTACCTATTTTATTTCTTTTTTCTGATTTGTCGAAGAACAAATATCAAGCATGATAGCCTTTTGCATGCGTAGCGTTTAAACCGTTATTGGTATTTAGAGGTGCTTTATAATTCTAATTTTTAAACGTAAAAATTATTCAATGGCTTTTTGACCCAGATTCTCAAAATAAAATCCATGTAAAATCTTCAGACTTACGGCACTTATGTTTGAAAATAGAGTTCAATATATATTTAGACAGACCATTTTCACATATGATATTTAACTACGGTATTTTCTATGCAAAAAATAATAGGACATTGAATTGAAAAAAACCAGAGGAAATGAATAAAGATAAATTGCATACAATTTTATCGTGACATATTTCTCAATTATTGATCCAAATCATGAATTATAAATTCATGTTAATGACAGTAGTAACTCATGTAAAATTATTCAAAGTTGTTTTATTGTAGTTATTTAGGTCTTTTCGACCCAATGATCAATTTGATCTGATATTGTAAAAGCAAATTGTCACTTCTCTGTTTGATCAAATGATGCTTTTGAACAAATGTTTATAAGTTTTAGATCAAACTATGTTTCCTAGCATTTAAATATCTACATACATGAATTTTTTTTTTATCAGATCATATATCTTCAGCAAATGTGTATAATTTTTGTAATGAGTAAGATAAAAATTGACTGGCAAACTGTTTGCATGAAATTCTATATTATATCTATAGAACGCAGACAACTTAATATCTTAATTCTCCCTTATGGAAAAAAAAAATCAAATTGCAAATAGGCATTTAAGTAGATGTTAAATTGAAATAGGAACAGCATATATTCCACATTTTTTTTTATCATTATGAAAAACAAATTACGTCTTTTGTGAAAAGAAGTTGAACCATTCGTGATAGAAAACCTAAAAACTAAATGAGTTCAATGCAATATTTTTACACATTGTTATTTACACCTGATAATTATTGGTCTTTGAAAATCAGCTCTTTTGCAAAGAGCATATTCGTACATGTAAATAAAGGGTTTTTAAGATGTAATATCCCTCTGAGAAGAGAGATAACTTTCTGAAAACATTTCCATGAAATTCAACGAATCATCTTGTCAGAATGAACAGAGTTTTTTCATGAGGACCATATTTATAGGCAACTCAAACAAATTTAATCTATTGTACAAATGATGATTTTAAGTTTTTATTGCCTATGTTTTATTAATTTGTTTCTTTAATGTTTTATCTAAAACATTTATACTTAGTTCATTTGAACTATGAATCTGAGATGTTTTTTCTCTTAACGCTTGTCTTTTAATAGTTTAAAAAAAATTCAGATGTGGAATTGTTTTTATATAAGTATAATTGATTTTGTTTCACTAAAAATACTTTCAAGGGCGATAATGGGTTGATTGATTATGTATTGTTTGACATTCCTCTCGAGATTTTTTCACTCTTATGGAAATGTCACCGTATGCCTGTAAAGGGCTTCAAATTTTGACTTTAGGTCGGCACTCTGGGCCATTGAGCAATAAGGGATATTTATCTTACCAACGCCTGCCGCTGACACGGGGCCTCGGTTTTTAAATTCTCATCCGAAGGACCCGCAACTTTCACCTCAAAGTGCCGAGTGCATGACGAAGGAACAGTTGCTACCCGTTTTTTTTTTTAAAAATCGATTTAGGTCAGTCGCGGTCCGGATACCAGCTCAAGACCTCCCGATCACTGAGCGAGCACTTTACCGATTGTGCTACCGTTAACGGTGAAAGCGATAATGGAAAGGTAACCCTTGTTGATGGATGCATATTATTTTACAAACACAGAAAATTATTTGATATTCTGATTAATAAAAAAAAAACACAACAACGCTCCATTGTTATTTTTAATTAAAATTAGATGGGTATGACTTAAATATTATTTTCAGATATACCTCATACTTTTAATTCATATTTGTGAGATCATCATGATTAGACACATTATTCATTTCTAAAAAAGAACATGTAAGCATCGCTTCATATTTCAAACAATTTTTCATTTGAATCTAACGCTATTACTATTGATAAAAATCAATATGCTTGGAATTTACAAAAAGTGGTGAAATTCATTGAAGAGGGATATTTCACCATAAATGGCCCTTCTTGCAGTGACTAAGTTAACAGCTAGTGAATAAAAGGTTTTTGTTTGTTTGAGTGTTTTTTATTATTTCTATTCTTTTTATATGTCTCCACCAGAAAAAAGGTAAACAAGAACTTTTACTACATGTTACATTTAAAATTTTATACCCATATTTTGGTACAACTTTTTATAGAATTAATAGTGACAATATAGATAGAAATAATACCTACTATAACATGAAGCATGATGGAGAATAATAATCCCGATGTAATAGAGTAGTGGGAAACAAACATTGAATTTCATCTTTAATCATCAGACTCACAAAGAAATCTGCGGTTAGAAGGAAGCTGTTTCATGCTAATATGTTAGTAGGAATTCATCAGAAGTAAAGTGTCCCTTTCTACGTATTAACTTTTATGCATTACAACATAATATCATATTACATTTTCGTTTTTAAATGTCACTTAAAAGTACATGTAGTGTGTTTTATACCACATTATTATATAGATTTAAAGATAGAAGAAATTTGAGAGAATTATTATTTCTTTTAAATCAGAAGTACCACTTGACTTTACTTAAACAAAAGTCATTATCTTCAGGAAATGTCAAATTAAAGGCAACGGCAAGTGTCTTCTCCTTCACATCGTGTTTGTTTGTGAATAAATTCTCCATAATGAGAATAAAAACTAGAGGTACTGTAAGCAATGAGCTCACTAAATGATACCCCCGCCTCCAATGTTTGTATAAACATGCAGTGTTCATGTTTTGCTATGGAAAACCCAAAATATGTGTCGGATCAAAAAGTAAAATAGGAGGTGCACAATGGCAATATACAATAAAGATTCTTTGAAAGTTTTATCAAATTTCATTCAGTGGTATAAGAGGAGTAGCTAATAAGAGATGGGTACCCCAAAGAGTAACAGACGGATGGACGGACGGAATTAACGATTACTATATACTCTCCCGCTTTTCAAGCGGGGGGTATAATAACTGGTCTGTATTGTGGCTGATTGAAACCAATGAGAATTTCGACTGATTGTTTAAATACCTTATCTCCAAAAACGACATAAGTATTGTCAATCAGAAACTCTAAAATCAGGTCAATATCTTTGATCTAGGATCTATCTATGATGTATCTATCGCCCCTGATGTCACAAAACCTCTTTTATATTTGCTTTCGGTCCGACAGATTTTGACAAATAAATTAAAACTGTATTTGTTAAAAAATTGCTTATAATAAGCGTTTTAGAATATTAAGCGGTTCAGAAATACGGAAATCATTTAAAATTGAGCACTGTAAAGAAGTCTGAAAATGACGACAAAATCAATTTTGGGGTCAAGATGGAGCAGAGAGCATACATAAAATTTTGTAAAGAGCTTTGTAGAACAATTTTCCAGACTAACCAATTCGCTAAAACCCTAACTATGTGAAAAAATATATCTAAGGCTTTGTTATTTCTTTGGTTTATATTTTTCCACAGTCTAAATAATGTACAATGATAATTTTAAAGCATTTTAAATTATAATGAAAATTAGCCAAAGTATGAAATCAAACAAAACAAATTTGTGATATCATAAACAGCAAATTGTATTCAACGTTGAACGCAAACATATCGCAAAATATTCCAAAACATCTTTTTATACATAACATCTACATCGATTTCTATTGCCTTTTATATTCTGTGATCAGAAAATAAACTAAAAATTGTGATTGGCTTGAATGAATGATGTAACGGTTTTATGCAAAAGCATTCATTAGTATATGAATGAAAAATGCAAACAACAAACAGTATACTTGATATCGCGATTACTTAAGGAGGCTGGTGGGTCAAAAAATTTATCCCAAATTAAACATCAGATTTTACTTATTTTTTTAGATACGGTATCTTTAGCTGTCAACTATCATTTTGCAAAGAAGAAATTCATACATTTTAGTTTTAAAATTTTATCATTTTTGTATATCTTTATATGGAGCTCTCCTTTGAAGATTATTGAAATATACTAAAAATGGCTGCCATCCCCTAGTCTCTTTAAAACTAAGAAATGTTTTGAAACATAGAAATAGGAAGCAGAGCAAACGAGACTTTAAAAAAAACAAGAGAGGTGGGTCAGGTGCCATGGAAACTATAATTCATGTAGAATTCATATAAATGAAAAAAAAAGTCTTCTTTATTTTGCATAAATAATTCTCTCATTTCAAATCAGTGGGAGAAGTGCCCTTTTCATTCAGTTTAACTTTACGTCTTTTATATTCAAGAAGGTCTCTTATTAACTTAATCATTTCTTTCTGATTTGCGAGATGTTTAGAAAAGGCACAATTATCTCCGGAATATCCAGGTTCACATAATCATGAGCAGGATCCGGTCACGTGATGACACGGATTTTTATGTCTGCAATGACCGAATTTTTCATTACATTCTCTGCCATACCAATCATGGTTGCATTCTTAAAAAAAACGAAAAAGATTAATAAATAACATTTTTCATTTTGGTCTGAAATCGGTCACTCAATGTACGTAAAGATATTGAATACAATGGAATTATCACATTTTTTAAAATTAATCATTTTCATCAAAATGTTTTTTTCTTTGTAATAGATGCATAAATAGACACTCAATTCCATGTCCTTTGGTGATGTAAACCACCAAAACTACTCAAAAATTCTTTATCCATGAGATTAGCCTTTCAAAAAGCCATATTTTTGGTAAAAATGCAAAAAAAAAAATGACCCATTAGAAGTATGTTATTTTAAAGAGACAAAGAAATGAAAATAATTTGATTCAGAGGTCTAGAAACATATCTGCAAAGAATTATATGGACGATCTATTAAAAAATATTATATAAATAGAATGTATATTAAGTGTCTGAAACCTCTGTCGCATTTATCTCCCTGGTGTCCAGGTTTACAGAGTCCTTCACAGGATCCATTTATGTAATGGCATTGATCGTTATCACAGTGACCGCACTTTTCCTGGCAACCTTTGCCATAAAAACCAATAGGACAGACTACAATAGAATGTTTGAGATATGAAATTTTCTAATTCATACATACATATACTAGTATTAATATACATTTCTTAGATATAAGAATCTGAACACCACAATTACTCATTGTTAATATAAAGTAAAAAAAAAAAATCTTAGTAAATTCTATACAGTCATGACTACCGATCAATTCTCAAATAAAATGTATACATGTATTGTCAAAATGCTTCATATTATACATATCTGGGTTTACATAACCATGGACACGATCCATCGATCAAATGACAACACTTCTATTATATTTTTGAATCATCTGTAGCTCTCTGATTGACTGAAATCCAACATTGTAGAAAATACTACTTTATTGTTACCTGCAAATAACCTTTCAGGGGAATATAAGGACTTGTTGTATTCTATATTAGACTTAAATTAGATTGAGAGAACCTGAATAGATACAAAAAATCTTGAAAATGTTTTTATTTTATTCAGTCGAGATATTATTCAAGTACATAGCACATGGAAATTATGGTGCAAGAAATTTTACACACGAGGTAGTATGAGGTTGTTCATCAAAATGAAAATAACCCCTCACCTCCCATGTTCAATAAACTTATTTTGTTAAATTATTTTACTAAAAATGCAAGCAAGTCGTTTTCTAAATTTCTAGGAATTTTGAATAACAAACAACATATTGATCGTATAAGATATTTCCATTCTGATTAGATACTTTGAAGAGGATATATCTTGCAAAAAAAATCTTTAAAATAAGTTTTTTTTTTCTTTTTTAAGATAAAAGTGTCTCCAGCTTGCGGTTTCTATAAGGCTGACAGTGTGACACTCTTTATGTTGAATGTCCTTGGTTGAATGCGATTGGTTGTTTTTAACTGCACTATCAGGCTGATACTTCTCATAGGAGGCATAAATACCTGTAAGACATCTTTTATCATGTGCAAAACTCCATCCTAGTTCACATTGTCCAGAAGAACAGGAGCCATTCATTTTATCACATTCTATCGTTTCTGCACAGTGTCCACATACACGACTACAATTCATTCCGTAAAAGCCCTTCCTGCATGCTTAAGATATTGAGATTTTATTTCATTTTTTATCAATATCAGATACAGATTAACCATCTCTTAAACTGTTTTAAGTGATGGTTTGTATAATGCAGAGGATTACAAAATTATATATATATATTTACTTATATGAGGTCTTACCTTTACAGAACGGAGGAAGAAGATTTTTACTTTTACAACCCATTCCATCACACTCACCGTGTATATTGCAATCATTCTTACACTGGTCACAAGAAATACAATTTCCATCACTGCCCTCGTATGAACAACCTGTTTTGTTACAAAATATGTAAATATTTCTCTTTAGTTTGTCTATGCTGAAACAGGCTACTCGACATTGATAATAAAGTGTTCTAGTCGACAGATCTGAAAATCAAATTATACATACAGATAATTAAATGTAGGTGCATGTATCAATGCAAGTTGATCAATTAAGGTATCACTGTTTAGTTAGCATAATATGCCAGGGTGTCAACGATAGTTGGAAACATGGGATAATTTGCATAACGTGCGCAGCGCGTTATGCACATATTATCCCATGTTTCCAACTATCGTTGATGTCCCTGGCATACTATACTAAATCGACAGTGATTCCTTATATTTCCATTCCAGTGTGAAATACAATTGTAGATTTAGACTATAAAAATGTTGACTATTAGATTGAAATTACACGAGGACTCCCATGCCAATTTTAATAGTCTTCGCCCACTGAGGCAGCCGCGCGAGATTTACATACATATTTGGCCTTCTTAGCGTCAGACAGAGACAGATTCGCACGAGAATTGAATGCATATCAAACCTTCTCAGCTCTTGACCTATCGACCTGCCTATTTCAAATTCCGGTAAAATTATCAAGAAATCAACTCCGTTAACTTTTAGGGAGTTATCACAGAGGGGAAAGAAAAATCAGAAATGGATATATTGCAGGATAAAATGTAAACACGCCTGAAGGAACAAATATCAAACTTTCATACGAATCAGTTTACTAGATATATTAAGACTGTCCGACGGCTGATAATGTATTTAATAAACTATTCTATTTTTGGCTAGATTGTATCACCATATGGAATCTAATTATGAATTTGCAGACAACTTGTCAGGTATTTTAATAAAGCATTATTGTGATGTCTCTTGACTTTGATTGACACGTGGCGGACACGTATGAAATACTTGGCTATGTTAAGGACCGATATGGAAAATGTGACCTCAGCACCGTTTTAATATGTATTATTTCTTTTAAAATGCAATAAAGCTACTGAATACCCGTAGAAAATGTAATATAGTCATTCATAATGGATAGGACTCGGCCGCACACAGTGCCAGGTATGTCGCACGTATCAGCTGTTTGTAAAAGGACTTGCATACAATTAGAATTGTTAAGCTGAATGAAGAAAATTAGGGTAGTGCTAGGGCATCAGCTTTTTTTAAAAGAAAAAAATGATACACGTTTAAAGATGTTGATTTCCTCTACCCAAAAAGTAGATATTCCATATTTAAGCACAGACAAAATAGTCTATGGCCTTGCACTTTTGATGTAAATCACGAATACTCTTATCGGTCTAGCAATATTTTCTACATTTGCAGCGTCAACGCTACTAGATTAATTCATGTTCTATTCAAATTGTATTTAATAAATTATTTTGTTTTATATCTAATAATTATTTTTAAAAAATACAGATGATATCATGTTTATTCAAGCACTTGCGTAAATATTAAACCAGTAAATCTAATCCTCTGGATAAACTGTACTGCGTCATTTCAAGGCTGATGACGTCATATTTGACGAGATGCTTTCTTCTATAACTCAAATGTATTGCTATCAACTATTGTAGTTTTGCAAGATTTTATAAATAATTGATAAATGATTAAATCTTAGTTTTTATTTATGCATCACAATGTCGCTAACTAATTTTGTGCCTTGTTAAATCATCTGTGACGTCACAATTTAACTTCTATACAGTGTATCACGAATTTAAACTTGACCTTTCTTAACATAGCTGAGTACCCTAAATGTTACAAGAAAATCACATGGGTACAAGTACAAAACAGAATTATTGCAAAATTCTTGTCACGATATTCAATACACCATTTCTTTTGGTACAAAAATTGCTGGGGACAATTATGAATTTTAATTCTATAAAAACTATAAAATATTTTATGTGAAATTTACAATTACCTAAATACAAGGGGACATTTTCCACAGTAACATGTAATCGAATTCATACGAAATAAAATAAATTACACACAATTTCTCAGCAACATTCAGTCAGAGAATCATTTTTCTCTTAATGATTATGATTCACACAGATTATCTTGAATTTATACTTATTAATTACATGTGCCAATCAAAAAGATACACTATTCAAAAATTTCAACTCTGTGTACTAAGGTTTAAGGGGAGCGTTTCCTAAGTATTTTGTGAATAGTTGTGTGAATATGTTCATATTCTAAATATAAACCAGCAATACTAAAACAAAGCAAAAAAAAAAAAATGATCCTGTTAATTATGAACAGATAGGATATTCTTTGCTCAATCTGTAAACCTAATTTTTTTAGAAGTGGAATCAAAATATGAGTTTTATAAAATATATGTATTTTAGGGTATTGCAATATCAAGCAATATCAACTCAGACAGTTTTTACAATGTAACAAATAGCTTACCATAAACCTGCACTTCACATATTTCAAGGGATGCTCCATCATGAAACATTTTATTTGTGTTAATCCAAACATACTGGGCTACTCCTCTACATTGTTGTTCTATAATTGGAGGCAGAGTTGTATTCTCATCATCTTGATAACAAATGTCCTTCCGGTCAGTCAGAGTTGTGTTTAAAAGAAGAGTGCTAAATCCTTGTATTCTTCTGGTATTATACCCTAAACCTAATGAAAGATAAAAAAAACTGATGAAGACTTTATCGTATATAACGTATTCTCTTAAATTAAGCATGCACATTTTTCAATGACTTTTTTTGGAATTGCTGGTTAATTAAAATGTTTATTTTGTTTGAGAAAAAAGTTAGAATTATATGGCGAAAGAAAGCGAATTTAATAAAACTACATTGACTCCTCGATATATTACATTAAAAACTCTAAAAACAAAAATTCCACATTTTTTATCATCGTCGTGTTTTATCTCCCTTAAAAATATTCAATCTAATTAAAATTAGATGTTAGATCCGCTCGCATACACGCTACACTAACATCTAACAACATCCCATAGAGGGTCACGTCAGAGGTCAAATTCGGAAGAACTCTAGACTTATTCGCTTCACCAATTAATATTCAATGATTTTGCAGGCGACGATTTGATTGGTTGATATAATTTGACCTCTGACGTGACCCTCAATGGGATGTTGTTAGATGTTAGTGTAGCGAGTATGCGAGTGGATCTAACATCTAATTTTAATTAGATTGGAAAATATTAGAAATTCAAACATATGAATAGCAAGCATATGCATTAGGGCATAACTTATCTTATCGTTGGCCTTATTTAGAAGTTAATCAAGCAACGATGTGTATATTAAAGGTAAAGAATTTTTACACGGAACCTGTTTCCCTGATTTGAAACATTAAAGAGGCTGGGTGGTCGTGACCATTTTTAGACTATTTTGATCTCCTTTGAAAGAAGAGCTCCATATAAAGATATAATAAAATGATCAAATTTTAAAACTAAAATTTATGAAAATTTATTTTTGCCAAATGATAGTTTCCAGCTCAAGAAATATCTAAAAAAAAAAGTTACATCTAGTGGTTGATAAAAATAATCTTTTAACCCCCTAGCCTCCTTAAAACAGTTCAACAAACAGACAAAATGAACATATTAGTGACGTATTAGTTCAGCAAGTACGTAAAACAATTACAGCATCATAGCTTTTCCCCTTCCCTGCATTTTAACGCGTATACAGTTTCCTATTTCTAGCACAAAATCATGTATATACCTTTTTCCTGCAATCACGTATTTTCATGCACTTTAAAAAAAATCATTTAATATTCAATTTAATGCCAATTTCCCTTTTTTTTATATTTGCTCAGAAAATAAGAAAAGTTATTTTCTTATTAAAATATTAAGTCATAATATAATTTACGCTTAACTTTGGAGGAACTTGTATCACTCTAAAAAGTTCTAACAGGGAAATGGTAATGTCATACTAGTATTTCTCTGACGTTAACATTTAGGTCTACTTCGATTGGGAAACCCGGTTAAAACGAGTTAATTTAAATATACGTCATGCACATGCGCAATCGAATTTGCAATCGAATGGGTTAATTTCACACCATGTGTTGTTACGAATGTAAACAATATGGAAGTAAATCCCTGCAGTTAAAACTCGCAAACACCTTACGGCATGAATTGGTAAGTTTAGTTTGAAATTATTTATCAAGAATATTAAGGTCATTCAAGTAGGGGTATTTATATGATATATTCTAAACCAGTGGATTTTATTTATCTTTTTCAGCTCTGATATTTTGCGGTAAACATATGGCGACGTCAGATTCAATTGCAGCATGTTTTTGCGTACTGGATATTTTTTTAGAGGATAATGTGGAAGAACTGTATTGTATCGATAAAATGAATGATTATATAATTCATTTACTTATGATGCCTCGGAAACACATTCCCCGTATTCAGGACTTTGTCGAGGAAACGGTGACAATGCATTCCACTGATGATTTCAGAACACATTTTCGACTGAACAGGACAACAGTTGAAATTATTTTAAATATTATTGCTCCACGTTTGACAGCAGTCCATGATGGGGGCAAGAAGGAAATAACACCAAAGAAACAACTACTTCTTTTTATTTGGTATTTGGCCAATCAAGAGTCCATGCGAGAGACTGGCAATCTTTTTGGTGTGTCCCTTTTAACTGTACACAAGATAGTTATTAAAGTTACAAGTGCTTTGAAAGAAGGGTTCTTGAATGTGAGTGCAGCCTAAAACATACTTTTTATACTGCAAATTTTATTTTTCATAAACATGTATGGGTTTTTTCCTGTGCGAATTTTGGGTATTTTCTTTTCAGGCAGGTAATTCAGTGGCTGGATCCAGCAGCACAGAACATAACTGCACAATTATTTCAGTTAGCTAGTGGCTTTCCTGGGATCATTGATGTGCTCGATGGGACTCATATTCGATTAAGTTCACCAATAGGAGGGGATTCAGATTATATAAATCGCAAGGGATATCCATCAATTCAGTTACAGGTTTGTTTATAAATTGGAGCTTAAAAGCATATCATGCAAACACTGTGCATACTAATGTTATATTTTTATAATTCCTTTTTCAGATTGTTGTGGATCACAATCTGAAGATTGTAAGTGCTCATACTGGATGGCCTGGATGTGCCGATGATGCATGAGTTCTACGGAACAGTACACTCTTTACAAGAGGTGAAAATGGAGCACTAGCACCACCAAATATGCATAACATTGCAGACTCTGCTTACCCTTTAAAACAATGGCTTATCACACCGTTTAGAGACAATGGGCACCTGAGTAATCAACAAAAACGTTTTAACAGACTGTTGAAAGGGCAATTGGCCACCTCAAAGGCAGATTTAGAAGACTGAGGGAAATTTTCTCTGATTGTGACAAGTGTTATCTGGATGAGACATTTATTTGTTAGTAGTTAATTTTGAATTTGTTTTGAAATAAAATAATTTTCATAAAAGTATAGTTTACAAAGTTATTTCTCTTTCAGTTTGTCAAAGAAAAAAAAATAAATTGCATAGATAACTGCTGTTCATTATAGAGATACTTATTTAAATTTTGAAACAAAATATTTCATAATATATTTTAGGAAATTTTAAAATGAAACAATTCAAATATATAGCTAAAACATATATTTCAAAATTGCAAAGAGGATGCAAACTTTTTACGAAAAGTCCTTGTAAATAGTGGAATTTATTTAAATGTATTAAGTAATAACAATTAATAAACAACACATTTTGGTTTAACCGTTTATTTTAGGTAACAAAAAGAAAAAAAAATATCAACATAGCAACTGATTTAGAAGTTGATAATTCTCTCAGTTTCAAACATAAAATAAAAAACACCCTGAGTATTTATCATAAAAAATGTCAGTGTTACAAGTCCATGTTTGTGAATATCAAAAGTCATACCTTGACTAGATAAAAGATAATATAACAAAGTATTATATGATTCGTATCATTGCATTTACTCCAAACATTCTTAAGATTTTCTGCTTTTCAAACAAAGCAGTAATTAGTTTCATCTTGCAGTTTAATATTTTTTTATTGACTTTTCAAAGATGTCTAAAAACCTGTCAAATCTTGCCATTTTTTCTTTTTGCTGCTCTCTAAGTTCTTGTTTTAATTTGTCTTCTTTTTCTGCTGATTATTTCACCATTTCCATCATTCTCATTCTGGGGGATTCTTTGGATCTCACTCTGGTTTTAGTTTTCTTTTGCTGGAGGCTTTTTGGACTGACATTTGTATTTCCTTCATTATCATGATCATCTGTATCAATCACGAATTTCGGCTTAGTGCCTGGTTTGGTACCATAGAGTTCACAAAAAGTTTCATAGTGTTTGCATGTTATTTCGTCATTGCCGGTTTTATTGTTGTGATCTTCCATTTATCCTGTGCTTGTTTTTTACTTACATTGACATTATTCTCAATCAATTTCTCGATCAATTTCTGCCAAAGTTTCCTATGGCTTTTGGAAGAGGTAAATTCCTCTTCTATGTCAGCTCTTACTTCAAACAAACACTTTTCTTCTTTTTCTGTCCAATAGTGGAATTTAGACTATTCGTTCCCAAGACACTTTCCTTTATCTCTTCACTTTGCATAGATGTTTTTTCCGCTTTTTTATTTTCATCATCTTTTCCTTTCCCCCGCTTTATTTGTGACAGACTTCTCATTTGCCTTGTTGCATTCAGAATTGACAGACTTTTCATTTGCCTTGTTGCATTCAGAATTGACAGACTTCTCATTTGTCTTGTTACATTCAGTATTATTTCCTTTCTCCATTTTACTTGTGACAGACGTTTCTTTGGTCTTTTTGGATTCTATTTCTTTTTTTACAATATTTATCCAAACTTGTCTTACAGAAGGATCTAAAAATAATATCACGGAATAATAAATATTGTAACATAGATAGTACTAAAAATGTGGATTGCAGGAAGGAATTTAAAATTTACGAGTTATCAATTAAAATTCCAAAATGTAAATGATAGAGTTTAAAATGTATTTGTCCTATTGCGTGTATATATCTCAAGGAGTAATGTAGTCTAAGATATCTGCCTTTGTTATGAAAAATAATATGTACCCGGTACTGTGTCTAGTTACCCAAAGTAAATTAATGCAATTAACTTTTCATATATATAGACATTATAACTCGCATGCTTATCAAATAAAATAAAGTGAGAAAGTTTTTTTCTAAAAATAATTCATTTTTGAACAAATTAATTTCAGTCAAAATAATTCATTTTACATCTTACATGTACAAGTTCAATAAACCTATCAGAGGAATTAAGCATCTCTACTATCCCTGGGGTAACTAAAACTCTAAAATTTTCTCCTCCCATCATTACATCTATTTGAAACCTGTAAAAGTGAAAAATATAAATTAATCTGCATGTTTACTGTGAACAAATGTTGACATTTCTTTCATTTTAATGTACATTTTTTTTATTTTTTAAATTTTCTTTCATAAATTGCTAAATCAAGTTAGTTAGAATTAAGAGCTAAAAAAGCAATAAATATATCGCTTCAAACTACAGATGTGCACCAAATGTGAAGATAATGTTATTTTTCCTCTATTAATTTTAATGAAAACACATATAACGAAAATGCTGGGAAATGGTAAACTTTTGTCCAATTTTATTTTTTTTTTATATTATTTGTTGAACCTTGCCAGAAAACATATAGTTATCTTTCATTACATATTTATTTTTTTTTTTATTTTAAACAAGATAGTTTATCACTTACATCGGCTCCTAAATTGTCTCTTATACATGTAAGCAAGTAATTTTCTTACCAATCCAATCATTTTCAGCTGATTTGCTAGCTGTTTAGAAAACACGTCATCTTCACATTTATATCCATGTTATCCAGGTTCACATAACCATACATACGATCAGGTCACGTGATGGCATGGCATTTAACCTACCTCTGCAGTATTCACATTGTTTGCAACATTCCTTACCATACCAACCGGGTTTCGCCCGTAGAAAAGTGGAGAGACAGATTAAATATTAGAATGCGTCAATAAAACACAGATTCCCAGGAACTCTAGAGGTGGGATCGTGTGTTTAGTTAGGAATTAAACGTAAAGAAAAAAAAAGTATATAATATTACTCGTGTAATTTGATTTCTTCCCTATGGATTGAATAATATCAATAAATGCATCACCCGTATTCATTATCTACTTTTTATAATCTTAAAAATATTAGACAGGAAAACTCAGGTTTTGGCATTTTACGAAGATGGGCAGGAATAACAGAACACATTTTTATAGTTTATTTTTACAATTAAATGTTGGCTAGAATTCAAGCTAATGTTAAATATTCCTGATGGGGAAATGAAGTTGCGTTCTTTCCTACACTTCTCTCTTTTTTTATTATAATGTATAACGCGATATAGAATTATCATACTCTCGCTGCATTTCTCCTGCTGATATCCAGGTTTATAGACGTAAGACAAGATCCACAAATATAATGGCATGTCACATTACCCTCACAATGACAGCATTGTTGTTGGCATCCACTTCCATACCAACAAAATGTCAAACTCATTCTTGATTCCCTCTTTTAAATATTGTATGTTTGCTTGTCCTCTTTAGACTAATTTGCTGAAAATAGACCTAGTAGGCAAACAACTTTTTTCAACCCCCTGAGATAAAGATATTATATATTATTTAATCTTTCAATTCTAAATTTTCCTAATCGGTCAACACATATATTGAAATTTTCTTAGAAAAAAAATGTAGCCTTTATATACCTAAAGACCATTTTTCCCTTAATCAGAAGAAGACAATAAAACATTTTAGGTAAAAAATGACATATTTTCATTTTTAGGCAAAGTTCGTTGAAGGAAGGTGTAAAACTTGTTCTTAAAATATAAACAAAGACCTTTATTAAATATTACTAGCAATATCAAAAAGGAAAAAATTCTCCCAGTAAAAGTATGTGAGGCTAAAAGTCGAGGATATTGAATTTAATAAATGTGCAGATTTGCAGAATTATCTGCTAAATATCCTTACACAACAAAAAGTAGTCCCTCACCAATCATGCTTCTTTGTATCACGTTGAGCAGTTTTCTTTTGGTGAATGTTAAAACAGTAACATTGTTGAAATTAAAGATGTTATAAAATATGAATTTAGTTAAATAGTTTTGAAGTAAGAGGTTCTGCGTGAAATTTTCTTAAAAGCTAACGAGTGACCTACCTTAAGATGACCTTGTTTTATTTTATTGGTAGTTGTTTTTCCCGCTCTTTTGTATATTTTGTTGGGGAACAACCGTCACCTAGTTTGTAAAGCTGGGGCAGAGCCTTTTGTTTCTCTGAATGATTACATGAGTGCTTAATTCATTTCAAATTTGGATTAAATCTTCAGGAGTAGGTCTTTACTTAAGCGTTTGCTTTTATGCTGCTTTATGCACAAAGAGAGAATTTTCTACTCATTTACCAGTGAAGGATTTTAAGTTTAAACCTCACTAGGCACTCACGGCCAATGTCCAACCAGACATCCGAAACATCAGTGACTTCTACTTCACCGTATTGAACTCATGACAGAGAAACAGGATCTATCTTTTGATAGTTAACTAAGTGATATAAGGACAGGATCATTTTAGGCATAAAGTGAGCCTAATTCTTAGAGGACTGAGTATAAAAATCACTTTTTTGGTCAAAATTTTCTTGTTATTGAAAAACAAATCTTTGTCAGATGAAACATCTAACACTTACTGTTTTTAGAGAATTGAAATGCAGATGTTTGTTGTTTGTAAAACGTTTTAATAATGTTTTTTTTTTCAAGACAACGTTCTTTTCATGTTGTCTGGTTCATGTAATAGTTGTGTTTAAAGCTAAAAATAATTTTCAATTAAATTATCAACCAGTTTGCAAAATATTCAATGATATTTCTATTTGAACTTAATATTGATTTATAGGTGCTTAATGTTTTTAATTTGTTTCACCTTCACAATTTTTTTTTGGTCGCAAAATGACATAAATATTAGTACCTTGTGCAATTATTGCGCCACAGTTAGATTCAAAATGATAGAAAATCTGCTCTCTGAATCTATTTTGGCATTAAAAAACAAGTACGCTCGATGCATATTATTTGTCAGTAGCCAGTTCAAGTATTTCTTAGATCCATATATACCACTTTTTTCGAGGCAAAACTTTAGAGATTCCTGGAAAAGGAACCCTTCTCCTTTTTTCACGTCGTTTTCAAAGCCAAAATCTTTCTGAATCCCCCTTGTATGTGATTCTTACTATTGAGTTAAATATATCGTCATTGATAATGTTATCTTTTTTATTTGATTTAAGTGCTGCATCTTTCTTTTCATCACTAGTATACCTGTATTAAGAGAATATGTCATTGTTTTTAATCCTTAAGAACATCATTGAAAAAATTAAGAAAATAACAATTGTTCAGGTTTGTATATTCGTTATAGATATTCTCTCTGGATAAGATCGTAATATGAAATCATCTTCAGTTTCAAAATCTCTTAAGGCCGGTTTACACTATGCATCTTGACACATGCATCTTGGATGCATGTGTCAAGATTCACAGTGTAATAGCCCCTTGTTTCAAATTAAATGGGTGTTGCATCTTGAACGATGGAATAGAACTTGTTCTATTCCGTGCTTCAAGATGCATGGAACTGACCAATGAAACGGAAGGTCAGAGTTGATATTGAATCATCAGCCTTATTTTTTTCATATAGTTTCAGAAATAGCTTCCCAAGATACGCAGAAAACAGAGAGTACTGATTAAAACTACAATTAGAAAAACTTATTTGATTATTATAATGTAGAGGAGTTTTTTTTTTTTGAATAAATATAAATTATATCTTCCAAGAATTATCATAAAAAGGAAATTAAGAATGATTTGTTCAGCTAAAATAAATCCAGAAATGAAATTTGAAGGTATTGTTATTTTTTTAAGTAGAGAAATTTCATCTTTACAAAGTATTCTAAAGATGCATGCATCAAGACACATAGTGTAAATAAGAAGATGCATGTGGCAAAATTGAAGCATGAGTTTAGATGCATGTGTCAAGATGCATAGTGTAAACCGGCCTTTACGAAATGTATACACATTTACAATTTAATCAGAACATTTTTTTGAATTGTCATTGAAAACTTACAAGTACTGTAATTGATAAGCTTAAAAAAAACTATGTACTGAAAAATAAATGACATCGATATCACACATGCACTTGTTCTTGACATTGAACAATTCAAGCAGAAATATTCACCGGAAATGACATGCCGTAACACATTCTATATCTATAATGATTTGTGACTTCAATGCATTCTTTATTCTAATACATGTATGATTTAATTTTCATTACATTTTAGCTCTCGAAGGTGTAAAACGGATTCTTAAACAGTTGATTCATTTAGCAACCGAACAAAACGATGAAAATGATAACCGACAATTTTTTTAGTGTTTAAAAAATAATTGGAAATCTTTTTATATAAGAAATTACCTTTGAGAAGAATTTTTGTATATTGCATACACTTGTCCTGTGACTAGAAATAAAAAAAAACAAATCCTATATTATCAACAATACATTACTTGTTAGAAATTTAAAAAAATAATAACTCTAATCATATCTCAAGCATTAAAACATTTGGCTCGGTCGCCTCGATTTGTTTACATTGAAATGCTCCTAGATATCATACCTGAAATATTATCCACCTTTTTAATGTCACCGGATAAAAAAAACGACTGAGTAAGTTTTCCTTACATTACACTATAATTTGACTTTCCAGCGTCAACCGTAAAGAATACCAAACATTTTCGAATTTTCAAAACAGAAATCACGGATGTGACTTTATCACGTTATTATAAGGATGCATCTTGAGTTTAGATTTAAATAAAATGATCTAAGAAAATGTAGAACATTTCCATATGGAAGCCTTAATTGAATAATTAGAATTGTACAAATTATTTTTTATCCTGATAATTTGATATTTAATTAATGCAGTTAATAATAGCAGATGCTGACTTTTGAGAGAATATATCCTTTGTTTCTTTCTTAATGTGATATTAATTGGGTCTTAAATAAAAGTTTTAATTTGATATGTAAATCTAATGCTTAAAAGAATTCTTTATTGCATGAAAAAAGTTAAAATGGTCTCTTTCATTGGAGATTTAAAAAAAGTTTTTTTTTCGTTCTCTACGATAATAACACACTGTATCTGTAATATAGAATGAAAACACTAATTATTTGTTCTTATAGAATAACAAAACAAAGTATGAAAAAGCAAGTTTCAACAAATAATTATTGATTTACAGAAAAAAATATCATTTATCATTATTCAAAGATAAGGATTCGCTCTCTCTATCTATCGAAATCTCTCTCTATCTCTCTAATCTATAAAATATGTTTACTGTAATTCTTTTATGATATTTTTATCACTTTCCATTAAAGACTATTTTCTTAAACGAAACTTAATTTTGACCCCCTAATAATTAATGAGTTAGTACATAAACCTCTTAACAACTTGCAATCTGCAAATACTTTTCATGATATATTCTGATATTTCAAGAAGAACTAAAACAATTTAAATCCTCATAAATGTGTTTAAAACCATTTGATTTTATATATAAGAAATACAAAAAACAATCTTGATTGCAAATGCAATCAGAGTAAAAAAAAAATCACACAGTTAAGTGACAGGTTATTATTCCATATTCTATTACTTATGTCAACATTGCAAACAGAGTTTAAAATAAATGGAAATGAAACCTTAATTCCAAGATAAAACAAAGAGTAAATCTAAGACCAAAATTCACGTATCTGTTTTAAGCCTATCATACAAAGAGAGTTGGCTAAGTTGTCCAAGTTCCTGGTACCTTTCGATATCTTCCACTCTGTCTACTTTTTCATAAATGGCGGGTGGACTCATCTCTCCAAGTTCTTGATAGCCCACGTTATCTTCCACCATTTCATTCACGGATCTGTTTTCAACATTCATCGAGTTTTGGTGTTTCTTTTTCTTTTCTGAACTTTTTCCGGTTTTTCTTACATTCCTTCAATATAAATATTTGAACGCTTAACCCGTGAAATCATTTTTGACATGTATCAAAAAAGAAATATTCTTTTTTTAAACAAAATTTCGATTTTACATTTCAAAACTTACCGCACAATAAAAAATATGTTGAGAAAAATGCTTAGAAATAGAATCGTGGTAACACCGTAGAAAGCTGGGGAAAAGACTGTGTTTGTTTTGTTTTTTATCGCATGGTTGCTTGCTAAAAAAGAAAAAGAAAGATAAATCGGCAAAATTAATCAGCAAATCTGCAGTTTTGTGATACCCTCCTTTTTGCTTTAAAGAAAGAAAATATTGCTTGCTTATATAATTCTTGCTTCCGAATGAATAAAAGCGATAAGGGGGGGGGGGGGTAAGGGGGGTGAGAGGCCAAAAAAATTGGTTAACTATCAATAGAGGTAGGAATGAAGCATAATTATATATCTTATTTGAGTTTTTTTGATGAAAATTTTCATTTCAACATTTAAATATAGAAACATAGACATTTACTCCAATATTAACTATCGGTAAAAGTAGAAAGAAAAGCAAACCAGGAATGTGACGTTAAAACATTGACTTCATTATCTTGAATTTATAGTTTTTTTTTTTATTAATATTTTTCGACAAATACGGCTTATACCACGTATACTTTTTCAATCAAGTCTAGAGTGAATCCTGCAAAAGAACTTTTCTTCAGATTAAAAAAAAGGATTTATTGAAAGAATGAATTAAGATTGAAAAAAAGAATCATTTCAAATAGGGTACATGGACTTTTCAGAAAATTTCTGAATAGGGTAAAAGTGATTACAGGTCAGATTTGATAGACAAGAACAAAAAATGAGTAAAATCATTACCTACAATATAAATAAATCTTTACATTGATATAATAACACACCCTACAATTAAGGTGCCCAATAGAAAAATTAGCATTTGTTTGTGATATAAGTAACCCTTTAATTTAATGTACTTGTCTAATATCTGACAAACGAAGAAATTGTTATTAGTTACATATTGAGAACGGTTATAAATATATTTTTTTTACTTAAAGCCCTCACATCATTTAAGCGGTTAAAGTAGGATTTTTCTCTGGTTTCTGACTGAATGAAACATTCAAAGTATATTAGCTAATATGTCTTACATATATAGGTGTAAGGAATGTAAAATACCATATTTTTCTTCCTCATCGCAATTGTACAACTTTAAATAGAAATGGTAAACTGCGTTTGAAAACTAGCAGGGACTATATTTTTGGCGGAATGGCGGCGTATAAAAATATCTTCTTTTCTGCCTTTCAAAATTATAATAGAACAATGAATTTAGCTATAATTTTTACACAATCGAAGTCTTGGAGAAATTTGCAAATGTAAGTTAGATTAATAATGAGGGACTAAACTTTCAAAATATATCAAATAAATATGATTTTTCAAACAAACTAGAACTTTATAAGCTTTTAAACGCTTCCTATGAAAGTGCAGATTTGAGCCAAAAATCCATAAAAAGTATTTTTTCTCTCTTTGTAAACGATCAAAACTTTTTGTTTTTGTATAATTTTGTATATTTATAATTCTACTTTATTATATGTAAAAATAAGAAAAAGTTAAATATAGGATGCATATGAAAAAAAATGATATATCCAAAAAAAATTAAGAAAAACAGAGAAAATTCGGATTAGCCAATATCCAGTTAAGTTAAATTATTTATGTAAATTAGGTAATATCATGCTATAGACCCGATATAGTAATATGGTTTTATGCAAAAAGAACAATTATTAAACTTTTCAAATAGAAGTAGGTATCGCATGATTGGCAAGTTATTTTTTATTCCTAATGTCAAGGAAAACGATAATGACCTTGACCTGACCTTGCCTCTAATATAAAACGGTCAAATTTAATTTCACTGATACTATCACTTACTGTTATTGTCATCTTTATTCTGTGAAAATTTCATTCATTTTTAAATATTAGAAATATGAGAAGAATCCTACCTTAAATATTACAACGAGGCCACATAAATGTTAGACGGACATGGGCATAACAAGATTTCAATTCAAAGTTACGTTTAGAGATATGTTTGAAACTCTTTGAAGTCTGTGAATTGTCCTTCGATTCATTGTTATAATATCACTATTCTGTCTACATGGTGAATTTTGCGCTGGTCAAGTACATTAAATAATAAAATAATGATTTATTTTTCAAGATTTCTATAGAGATCGTAGCCTTCTAATCATATATATGTAGCTTAATACTTTTATTGTTTAAGCGTAAAAGATAATATGCGCGTTTGGGCGTAGACTCTTTAGCTAGAACGATTCATCAAGATCATTGAACTGCTAAATAGGTACCTGCAAGCAAATATACGATAAAATCAGTACATAAAGAATATGCAAAAAATATTAGGTAAACTTATATTAAACAAAAATACATCCAAGCTAACGACTTCTTAGATATCTGCAAATAATATTTTATATAAGTATAGAATAAATCTTCATTGTAAAAACAAATACGTAGTACAGTAAATGCTACAATAAAGGGGCGGGGCCTAATATATTCGGGAAAAGTATATTTTGACGTCAAACAAAACTCTCGGGTTTTCATATTATCTTAAAAGTGTCCACTGGGGTTTTATTGTTTGAAAACTACAATGAGAAGTAGATTATGGAGAAATACCTTTTTCTGAAATAAATCAATAAACTACATAATAAAACCTTTTTTTTCAATTGTTTTCCTTAATTTTAGCAATGAAGAAATGCCTACTGGGCCACACACTGTAGATAGAATAGATATTTGTCATACCATAACGCATTTTTTAAGATTATTTTTCAAATCAATTCCGACGAATAATTGTTAATGAAATTTACACTTACCGAAAACATAAATTGATACAAAGGAGTATCTTCTAGTTGAGCTGCCACTAGCTGTGGATTGAATTGTCTCACAATAGAGATTCTTTCCATTGTCATCATTAGTGGGAACCCAACTCAGATTGCTAATCTTGGTTCGTGTACTATCATCATTATTGCTGGTGCTTTCTGATATTCCTTCATACAATTCCACTGAATTTGATAGATTTATTCCAAGTCTCCATCGGATTTTCGGTGCAGGTCGACCATTTTTTGATATACACGTATATTTGTAAGCATTGTCAGCAACAAAAACGTTAGTTATGTCAGGCTTTGTGCGGTCAATGACAGGCTGTTGTGCTAATACTTAAATAAAATATAATTTTAAATTTGGAATGTCTGAAAAACACAAGTTAACTTTTGACTTATGAATTTTTTTCAGATACAAAAAAACTTGTTTGAATCTTCGGTTTAGATAAACTAAGGAATCCTTACCATAAACACTAAAGGTCCATGATCGGGTTAAATTTTTGGACATTGCAGAATTTTTTACTCTGCAGATGAAGGAAACCAAATTGTCATATCTTGAAACTGTGAACGTGTAGTTGTTGTACGTAACATTTTGGGATCCATATACATACACTCCATCACCATTCCCTGTACTACTGCTTCCAGGATCAACCAGTTGATTGTTCTTATACCATTCCACTGAGGGTCGAGGATTACCACCGATAGAACTGCAACTCAGTGTTGCAGTTTCTCCTTCATTTATTTCAGAATCACCATTAATACTTGGGGAACCCGGAATAGCTGTTAAGTAAAAGTGACAAATTCTATGTTGCATCATCTCATATTCCATCTATTTAGAATAGCTAATGCAAGACACAAATACATGTACAGTTCAAATGTCGCAATGAGTAAACATTGAGATGAGGTTATCAATAACTTAGAATATTTGATTTGCAGTTTTTTTTCTTTATATTAATGAAATTGATTGCAGTTAAATATCTTCTAGCAATAAATATAAACAATAGAATGCCATCCAGTGTTGGTATTTCGATGATTTACAGTTGCAATCATTACGGAAAATAACGCATTACAAGAATATGCAGAGTATGCGTTTTTTTAAAAACTATTGTCTACTTTTTTGTATTTTCATGAAATAAAGAAAGCATTTTATTTTGAACATAATCTCAAATAGCATTAACAACTATCTGCGAAACCAAGACTGAGTTCATAATACGGCATCTTTAGTGGTTTTTCATCAATTGTCCTTGAGGGTTTTAAGAAATCTTCTTGCTACATGTACAAATGGAAGGAGAAGTGATTATAGATAGGTACCTTGCGTTTGCGCTTCTGAAATAAATAAAGAAGCAAAGTAAAATAAAAATGTTTTTCTTTCAATCGTTTTCCAAGACAACAACAATTCCACATTAATACAATTGGACCTCGAATTAAATATTATTTCATACGAAAAGACATTAAATAACAAGCAATTCCAACACATAACTTTAGCTGAAAAATTAAACTTACCAATAACATTAATTGGAACAAAGGAGGATTTTCTGGTTGAGCTTCCACCAGCTGTAGTTTGAACTGTCTCACAATAAAGGTTTTTTCCATTGTCATTATCATCAATTGCGGGAATCCAGTTAAGATTGCTAATCTTTCCCAGTGTACTGTCAACATTAGTAAAGGTGCTTTCCGATATCCCGTCATGAAATTCCACTGAATTTGACAGACTTCTTCCAAGTTTCCATAGAATTTGGGGTACAGGTAGACAAGAGTTTACTTCACACGTGTATTTGTAAACATTGTCAGCAACAAGAGCATCCTTGATGGCAGGTTCTGGACCGCTAATGACAGGTTGTTGTGCTAGTACTTAAATAAAATATGGTTCTTAATTTAAAATGTTTGAAAATTATATTTTACCCTCTAACGTTCAATCTTCTAGCATTTACTTAGAAGAACATTTTTCTATTTAAAAAAATGGGTTGAACGTTTAGCTCACAAACTCTAATGCTTCATTACCATAAACACTAATGATCCATGATCGGGTTAAATCGTTGGATATTGCAGAGTTTTTTACCCTACAGATGTAGGCGACAAAATTGTCAAATCTCGACACTGTAAACGTGTAGTTGTTGTACGTAACCTTTTGGGATCCATTTAGATAGACTCCATCACCATTCCCTGTACTACTGCTTCCAGGATCAACCAGTTCATAGTTCTTATACCATTCTACTACTGGAAGAGGATCGCCACCTACAGAGCTACAGGTCAGTGTTGCAGTTTCTCCTTCATTTCTCTCAAAGTCACCAACAATAGTTGGGGGACCAGGAATAGCTGTGGAGTAAAAGTAAAACATTATATAACCCCTTTTCTAATGCCTTAAGGTTAAATGTTATTAAACAAAAATCAACCAAACAAAATAAAGTTTCAAATATTTTTTCATATATTATAATAATTTAATTCTGGTTGTAACGCTGTATTTGATTGGATAAAAAATTTACTTTATATCGTATAAAATGGGTTGCCTACGTCACAATGACGCGTCAAAAATGTATCAATCCGCCTAACGTTACATTCAAATTTTGTACAAACTGAAGTCATTTTGTTAGAACAATCATCTTTTTTTCTTACATCAAATGAATGAAAATTAAATTATAAGCAATGAATTAAATAGCTACCCATTTTATACGGTATAAACTGGGTTGGAACAGTTTACGCTTTCTTATAAATTGCTTCGCTGTTTATAAAGCGTAAACTGCCCAAACCCAGTTTATACCGTATAAAATGGGTAGCTATTAAATTCATTCCTTAATAATTTTATACAGGTATATAGGATCCTAATATTATTGAAAAAAAGTAAAGTAAATGTTTTCAATTAAGGACACCAAATAAACCGATGCTATAGTAAGTGTTTAAGTACAGTGTAGTTTGATTCTTTAATTTGCTTTTAACTCGCAGATAAATTCATTTAGTGGTATTTTCAGGTACATGTACTTGTATATTGTTGTATAAGTCAAATTTAACATTTGACAAACAATTAAGCCCCGCCTCTTTTTTCGCATTTTCTTGGTTGCGTGTTTTTTGTCATTGCAATACTTGTTATTACATGTATCGTAGTTAAAGAGTGTTTCAGCAATATTTCTCATGTTGGGTCCCGATTTGGAAATTTTTTTTGTATTGTGCGAATAATTTTATTGACATATATCCTTTTTTTTTTCTTTATACTATATACAATAAAAAGTTCCTATTTGAATAAGTCCTACACGTTTGTTCTGTTTTCCAATGTTCCAACCAAGCAATCAGTGTTTTTTTTTTCTCAATCCGATGCGCAGGTACGATAAGGCTTCCCAGAGAATATTGTAGTGTACTCTGTGCATGCACTTCTTTGAACTACAAATGTATGACGTCATAATTGAAAATGACGTCAAGTCACTGCATACTTGAGCTATAATGATGGGGAAAGTGTCAAAAACTTAACACCTTATTTCAATCTGCATATAAAGATGCAGAATGCTAGTTTAAAACAAACGTGTTTTTATCATTTTTTCAAAAATCTAATGTATTCGAATAATTTAGATAACTTTGATTTATTACTCTTGTTTAAGAGTCAGCGTGTTGAAACTACGTACGAAAATATACGTTTGACATTTACCCTTTTTATACCTTTGGTCAGAGGTAGAATTCATAATATATGTATAAAAGAGCCTGGCGCAGGTTATTAATGAGGATTTATTTAATATATTTTGTGGAAATATGTAAGAGGAGTTTCCCCTCTAACTTAATCCTGCTTGGGAGAAATGTATGATGGCTTTGTTTTAAAACAGATGACTATATTGAGCGGAAAACGCCTGCAAATTTGTATGTAAGTTGAAGTTAATGTGAAATAAACTGTACCACAGAAAAAGTATAACTTTTCCCAAGCACATTTCGGTATCACAAGGATGCAACGAGTTTATTTATGTGACAAAAAGTTAATAATAATTGTGTTAATAACCTGCGCCGAAGCGATTTATGTGAAACATTCCAAAAAAAGAAGAAATGACTGTCACGTGATCAACAAGGTCATGTGATATCGTTACAAATATGTTTATATATAGCCCAGAGAACTCTCTATATGAACTGGGCGTACTTAAGTAAATAACTTAAAAATAAAACTCAAAATCAATTTAGCAATGCAATGTTACGTTTTAAATGCATTTTAAGCTCCGGGAAGCCTTAACAGTACTGCGTGGTTAATCTTTGTTGCTTTGACATGTAAATGGATGGTACCAGGGGTACCTGTAAACCTTTAAGTTAAGAATCGGATAAGCTTAATGTTTGAGCCAAAAATACGCAAATTAAGAATGATTATTCTTCTTCGACCGATTCATTCTCGGGATCAAACTGGAAATGAAAATAATACAACTAACCAGAAACCATTGCAGTACCTAGCGAATTTACATAACTGGCATTTAATCTCTTTTACCCAAATACTCAATATTTCTGAAAAAAAAGCATGTTTTAATGTTGGATGCCGCTAAGGTGTAGTTTTTGGACTCGATCAATTCGGAAATTGATTTCATGTATTGTTTCTTATTCATCATGTGTGTATAGAACCAGGACTTTCACATGTGAAAAAGTATAGATTTTTTTTTACATTGTATGGTCGTTTAAACCACAGGCATCTGAATTATTGATAATAACCCACGCTTTTTTTAATGAAAAAAATATAAGAGTGTATAATATCTCAAAAATATAAAATTTTCAGTCAAATACATCTATTTGTCGTTATATGCAAGCAGATTGTACTTTTTCTCACGTTTAAAGAATAGCCCTATACGGTATAATAAAAATACACAAGGTAAGAAACAAAAGTTGTAAACAAATAGGGGGTTCCCCGCTTCGAGACAGATTTCCAATGTAATAATTAGTGTTACCTATCATAATTTTGCAAGCATTCTATCTGGGAGATGTTATTTTACTGGTCTCTTAAACCTAAACCCCGCTATTAGCGTTTGATATGCCGTAATCGGACGATGAATTAATCTAAAACATACATTCTCCCCATTTACAGCTTCGGAGGAGGTTATGAACTCACACTTCTGTTTCATCTTATATGATTGGTTAATTGTAATACAGTTTAGATATCTAACCAATGAGATAAGGCAAAACAGAAAAGCAACTCCAAAACCTCCTCCAAAGCTGCCAATGGAGAAAAATTTATGTATCCGATTAATAAATCGTCCGATTATGGCATATTAAAATCAATGGCGGGGTTTATGTTAAGTAGTTTTGTAGAAAAACATCTCCCTGACTACGAAAGCCCAGAAGGCTCATTCGAGATTCGAGTTTCGAAATACGAGGTTCGAAATTCAAGTTTCGAGATTCAAGATCCAAATTAACCAGTCAAAGGCAGGTTCATTATTTGATTACTTCCCCTTATTATGTTTTTATGCGCCCGCATCGAAAGATCCGAGGCGTATATTGTTTTTGTCCTCTCTATCTGTCTGTCTGTCTGTTTGTCTGTTTGTCTGCAAACTTTAACCTTTGCCATAACTTTTGAGACTTTATATTTGGTATGCCTACTCCATTAATAAAGCTCTTTCAAATGACACCAAGGTCAATGACCTTGTGACCTTGACTGTGACCTATATGCTAAAAATAGAGGTTTTGGCAAACTTTAACATTTGCCATAATTTTTGAACCATAAAATATAGCAACTTCATATTTGGTATACATACAATGCTTATTAAGCTTTTTAAAAAGACATCATGGTCAATGACCTTGTGACCTTGACTGTGGCCTAAACGCTAAATATAGCTTTTTTTGGGTGGCAAACTTTAACCTTCACCATACCTTTTGAAGGAAGAAAGGTAGAGACGTAATATTTGGCATGCATACTCCACTAATGAAGCAGTTTCACATGAGACCAAGTTCAATGACCTCGTGACCTTGACTGTGTCTTATATGCTAAAGATACCTTTTTTGAACCTTCAACATAACTTTTGAACCATGAAAGATATAGACTTGATATTTGGTATGCATACTTCACTAATCAAGATCTTTCAAATGACACCGAGATCAATGACCTTGTGACCTTTATGCTAAAAATATGTTCTTTTTTTAAATTTGTTGCCGCCGGGTGCATAGTTTTTCACAAACACACCTTGTTACTATCAAGAATTCGTTTAATATATTTATAATAAATGGGTCATTTGCTTAAATAATAATGCAAGAAAAAATGAAACGAAATAAAAACAAATTTTCGGTTACATTTTGAAATATATATATATAATCTTATTTCTTTTTCATTAAACAAAACAATACATAAGTATTTAGAATATTATATGGTCTTATATCGTTGAATTGCGGAATGAGTAAGTCCACAATTTTTTTGTAAATTATTTGTAATAATTATATTGTAAATTTGAAAATTATTCTTTATATGAAATACTAATAAGGGTACATTTCATTACATTGTGCGCCCCCCTCCCCCCAATAACTTTGCCGATACATAAAATACTATAAAAAACATATCTACTATATGCTTGGGCCCCCTCAATTTTGTGCCTCCTCAATAAAAACATCTGATGACGACTTTAATTGAAAAATGAAAATGTATGGCTGTGCCCCTACCCCCTCTCCCCAATGAAATGAGCATTATGGTTTTAAATATATATTTTAGTCTTTGACCATAACAATATATGGTCAGAGACTAAAATATAAAACCATAACGCCACAGTTCTGCAGCTAAGCTAGACTCATCTACTATTTGATATGGAATAAAAGAAATTTCAGTCTTTATTGTATCTATAATTGTTAAGTAATAAAAGCCTTAGAGCGAGATAAGTAATTGAAAACTAAATTTTTATGTACTTCCTCTATTAGGAAACCTACAAAATATTTTTATGCTCTAGAAAAACGAAATTACGTCAATAAGAATATCAACAACTTGATTATTAATGATGGTAAATATGTAAACAAACAACAAGAAATAAGAAAATTTTACAAAAATCTACATGAAAATAAAGATCAAGAACTCGATGATGTCAATCTTGAAGATTTATGAACATGTGTATTGATTGGTTATGTATCTTGCGAGACCCGAGCGGTTTCCTTATAAATAGTTATCGAATATATATTTATTTTGTTCATGCATCGCAAGATTGGCAATGAATGCTGATAACCCCCCATTTGCCCCCCCCCCCCTCCCCCATTTGGCAATTCCCTTAATATTTTTCCGATTAAATATACTATAAAAAACATAGTAACTTTATGCTTATTACCATGATAACCCCTATTTTTCGGGGTGGGGTGGGGATAGAGGGATTTACAATGATTTTTTTTTAAATTTATTATTCCCAGAGGGTCTGAACA